CTGAGCAAGGAGCTGGCTTGGGACTCCATCCCAGGACTCTGGGATCATGACTTAAGCTGAAGGTAGACACTTAACCAACTGAGCCACCCAGGTGTCCCACTATCTTTTGATATAATACATAGTATTAGGAATTTAAGACTGAGCCAAACTTTTTTTCTCAAAAAAATTACAGCACTTAGTGTTTTTCTATAAAATAGTACCAATCTTACTGCTTATTTGGAGACATGAGCTTCACTTTAAAAAAAATTCTTGGGGCACCTGGATGGCTCAGTTAAGCATCTGACTCTTGATTTTGGCTCAGGTCCTGATCTCAGGGTCATGAGATTGAGCCCCCTGTCAGACTCCACACTTATTGGGGAGTCGGCTTGTGATTCTCTCCCTCTCCCTTTGCCCCTCCCCCAGGCCCATGTGTGCATGATCACTCACACTCTAAAAAGTAAAAAAAAAAAATTTAATTTATTTATTTGACAGAGAGAGACACAGTGAGAGAGGGAGCACAAGCAGGGGGAGAGGGAAAGGGAGAAGCAGGCTTCCCGCTGAGCAGGTAGCCCAATGCAGGGCTCGATTCCAGGACCCTGGGATCATGACCTGAGCCGAAGGCAGACGCTTAACAACTGAGCCACCCAGGCGCCCCTAAAGTGAAAATTTTTTAAAAATTTTATTTTTTAGGGGCGCCTGGGTGGCTCAGTCGTTAAGCATCTGCCTTCGGCTCAGATCATGATCCCAGGGTCCTGGGATTGAGTCCGCATCAGGTTCCCCGCCTTGCAGGAAGCCTGCTTCTCCCTCTCCCACTCCCCCTGCTTGTGTTCCCTCTCTCTCCGTGTCGCTGTCAAATAAATAAAATCTTAAAAAAAAAAAAATCGTCACTTTGTCCCAAGATTATGTTTTCCCAGGAGCGCCCGGGGGGCTCAGTCCGTTGAGCATCTGACTTGTTTTGGCTCAGGTCATGATCTCAGGGTCCTGAGATCAAGCCCCATATCAGGCTCTCTATGGAATTCTGCTTCTCTCTCTCCCTCCCCCTACTTGCGTACTCTCTCTAAAACAAAATCTTTTTTTTTTAAGATTATTTTCCCAGAAAAATAAAATCATGTTAAAACCAGTGGTTTCATTCCTGGACTAACTACTTATTCTGCTGAAATCCTGCAGATTTATTATGCGTATTAAACTGGTTTTCCTTCTGTCTATAATGCTCTACTTTAAATTTAAGTAAATGTTAATTAGAAGCCAAAATGATAGCTAGAACGTCATTGAGGTAGCCAGTTTCAAAGGAACACTTGAAATCTTAAGAAGCTTTAGAAGATTTATAATATTTTGTGAATGAAAAGTGTATTTTCTTTTTAGTTTGCCACTAAACAACACACACTAACCACAACTGGTAAGCCCTGAAGCTATTTGGGTGATTTTTTTTCAAATAGGGTTAATAAATTGGTCCAAGAATAGAGTTGGTAAAAAGAAAAAATTGCATTCATATTGGCATTATTATTGATCAGCTTGAAGTAAGGGAAATCATGCAATTAGTCATAACATTACCAGTTTTATGATACCTATGCTTACGTCAGCATATATACTGAGAACTGAGATTGGAATGTTTTTAAATAACCTAATCATACACTTCCTAAAATATGTTCTAATTAAACCTTGATTAATGTGGAAGCTGAATGAGGTTAATTCAATGAGTTTATTACAGACCAAGGATTCAGCTCTGGGTCCATGAGCCCTATGGAATTTCAAACCTTTTTTTTTTTTTAGAGATTTATTTATTTATTTTAGAGAGTGTGAGCACGAAGGGGGGAGGGGCAGAGGGAGAGAGAATCTTGAGTGGACTCCCCACCGAGCAGAGCCCAAGGCTGGACTAGATACCAGGACCCTGAGATCATGACCTGAGCCAAAACCAAGAGTCGGACGCTTAACCAACTAAGCCACCCAAGTGCTCCAGAACTTCATTTTTAAAAAATTTTTATTTTCTTTTTAAGATTTTCTTTGTCAGAGAGAACACAAGCAGGGGGAGCTGGAGGCAGATGGAGAAGCAGGCTCCCCTGCTGAGCAAGAAGCCCAATGCAAGACTCGGTCCCAGGACTCTGGGATCATGACCTGAGCCGAAGGCAGACACTTAACCGACTGAGCCACCCAGGCGTCTCAGAACTTCAAACTTTTTAGTACATCTTTCATAGCTTTCATCTGAATCTCATAGGCGTTATCAAGATGCTTAAGAACCGGGGTGCCTGGGTGGCTCAGTTGGTTAAGTGTCTGCCTTCAGCTCGGGTCATGATCCCAGGGTCGTGGGATCAAGCCCTGCACCGGGCTCCCTGCTCGGCAGGCCTGCTTCTCCCTCTCCTGCTCCCCCTGCTTGTGTTCCCTCTCTCGCTGTCTCTATTAGATAAATAAATAAAATCTTAAAAAAAAAAAAAAAGATGCTTAAGAACCACTGCTGTAGGGGTCCCTGGGTGGCTCAGTCATTAAGCGTCTGCCTTCGGCTCAGGTCATGGTCCCAGGGTCCTGGGATCCAGCCCCACATCAGGCTCCCTGCTCTGTGGGAGGCCTGCTTCTCCCTCTCCCACTCCCCCCGCTTGTGTTCCCTCTCTCGCTGTCTCTCTGTCGAATAAATAAATAAAATCTTAAAAAAAAAAAAAGAACCACTGCTGTATACCATTAAGGTGAGAATTAGAGACAGGCTAACATTAAGTATGTGAGAAGCATCTCTGATAAGCAGTGTGCTACATTTATCTACATTGTCATAAACCTCCCAATTACACTGTGAAATTAAGTGGTTTTACCTTACAGATGAGTTAACAGGTTCTGAGACAAGTGACTCATCCATAACTACAACTCCTAATGGAGAGCAAGCTACTAGTTTGGTTTTAAATTCTTTAGTATTGAAAAAAAAAAGATCTACAAATTCATGATGAAAAAATCAAATTTATTACAGAAATAATTTAATAAAGTGACCTATAACATCTTCTCCCAGACATACTTTTAAGAGTTTAAGGCATCCTTTCTCTGTATCTTTTTTCTGTTCATGTAATACTTTAATGGTCATGTCATTATACAAATATGCCAAAACCGACCATTCCCTAGAAAGTTTTGAGGTACTGAATGTTTTTAAAAACATGATGTAACAGTTTTTAAAGGGTGCTAGAAATGTTAGCCTATTTATAAAATTGAGGAAATGGTTCAGCCTTTATCTAAAAGCCTAGACCAGCACTGACTGGAAGTATTCAACAAGCCATTAATTTGACAAAATGTATTAAGATATGAGACAGGAAGTGATCTGGGGAAAATCTGAGGTTTATGAATGGCCCTGAATACTATGTACACTTCACTGTTCTATAGTCACTGGTAAATACTGTTTAACACAAAGTTCCATTACCTGTGACAAAATCAGAATTAAGGTTTCTCTGAATCATTAGAATTATAGCACCCTATCCACCACCTTTCAATTTTTACAACCACTCAGAAGGTTCTGGGGACACAAAGATGTTCTGTAATTGCAATCTATAACTACAGGATAATTTTAAATTCTTTTTGAGATTTTATATTTATAGTGTTTTAATAAGTAGACTAAAGGCATGGAACTCAGTAATAACTGGCTAAACTACATAAAAGTATTTTGATTAATGACATTTGTTTATAAAATGCAGATGGAAGGGACTGAAAGTAATAAATTAAAACACCTTGTTTTTCATCTGAACTTTACTTCTGACAGAAAACGTATCCATTGGGTACGTATCTGTTTTGTAAGCCAATTACTCCAGCTTCAAGTAACCCTAATCCAGTTTTGTGTCACATTTTTCATCTTTATAAGGCGTAAAAAATAGAAACTACTTTAAACTCCTAAAGAATATGTATTCAAAAGAAATTCAAAGTCCTATTTGCCTTCCAATGGAGTTTGGGCACCAATTATGCAACTATGTTTTGGTTAGGGTTAGTCGACCCCCACTCCCCACCAAAAAGAAGGTAACGTTAAAATCTCAAACCAGACTGTTAGTAGGCTGGCCATTTTTAACATCCTTTTGCTTTAATCTTTTGGCAGTTCCATAATCACCTAAAATGCAAGTCACTAAATCAAACGCCATCCAGCTCTCCGGTTTTTCTAAGCAGGTCACAAATGTGTTGAAGCGATCAACCTCATTCTCTTACTGGAATGGTCCTACTGAATCAATCTTGTCTCCACACTATCTCACCTTTACTCAGCCCGATGTCAAAGCAAATGAACAATGAATATTCCTGAAAAGACTAGTATTTCCAATAGTTTAGAAGAAGTCTGGGTGAGAGTTACAAGAAACTATTACCTAAACTTCACAACTAATTTGTAGCCATTCTTAATAGTTTTGGGGAGCCCAAGTCAATGCTTTTCCCGCCCTCTTCACTTTCCTTTAATTCGCAACACAAAGAATAGGGAAAGTAAAAAACGAAAGCAGCGACACCATTACAGCCCACTTCAAATTTAGAACCTAAGCAACATGAAAGCACAAAAATATCCGCAGTGTCTCCCAGCAGAGACTAAGACAGACGACCGCCCTGCTGCCAAGCTCCGTCGTTGTTTCGTTAGGGGCAGGAGGCCCACTCCCCCACCAAATGATGCCCCGGCGACTTGAAAAGCGCGGGCAGGCTTGGTAGCCAGTGACCGGCATACAGCAGCTCTTGGGAAAGCAGAGCCCTCTCCCCAAACCAAAGGCCTCGGCTGGCACCGAGAGCCCCCAAGGAGCGGTCAGACGTCTTTTTCTGTCCTAGCCCTCCCTACCACTTTCCTCCCAACGGGGCGACACTCGGCAATCCCTAGGCAAAGCCCAACCAATCTCCAGAACACGCTCCAGGAAGCCAACCGGGAGACCCAAGGCCACCTCCTAGCCCCTGTGGGGAAAATGGCGCCTGTCACTCCATCTCCCTCCCGGCTAGTCACAAGGACCAGCCTCCCTCCCTCACTACAAAATGGCGCCTCCCGCTGGGGCCCCAGAATCGGCATAAATCACTTGTCAGCGAGGCGGTATCTCTCTAGGGTGAGCGGTTCTGCCAACCAGTCAGACAGAGGAACTTTGATTCCGCCCTTTGCACAAACCATTCAGGCGCTGGCTGCAAGGCCAGACGAGGCTAACGTCACGGAAAGGGGGCGTGAATGAGGCGGTCTCCTTTCGCGTCGCCTAAATTTGAGCCAATCGCAAGCAGGAAGCGTCTCGTGAGTGACGTAATGACCGCCCAATGGAGGCTGGGGGCGGGCCTCAGACTCGCTATGCGGGTTGCGGGGCCTGGGGGCCGGGCGGCTGTTTCCTGTCCTGGTGCATGGTGGTCGGACGAAGGAATTGTTGGAAAATTTTCTCGGAGGTTCGTATATAAATGTGTTTTTACCCAGTGTGCATTATTCTCCGCCCGGCCGCCGCCCTCAGCGCGGCGGCGCGGGCCCGCTCGGGCCGGGGCTCTGACTCCGGCTCCTCAGCCTTCGCCGCAGGCCCTGCCGATCCTACGGCCGGCCTCGGTAGCGGCGCCTGGGCAGAAGCGGAGTTTATTAATAACCCGCGGCCGCCACTCTGGGGCGGCGGAGCTTTTCTCGCTGAGGACGCACCCTCCCCCCCTTGTCTCTGCGCGTTGCGCCCCGCCTGTTCCCCTCAGGGGACCGCCGAGGGGAGGGAGTGAAAGAGGGGAGGGTGGAGCCCTCGGGATCCTGGCGGCGCTTCTCGGCTTGACCTCCGCGCGGGGCGAGTCCCCAGACGCCGCCGAGGCAAAGCTCCTCCGGCCGGGACGCCGACGCCGGGCCACGGTCCGCACCAGGCCCCATCCCGACGTCGGCGGCAGGACTGGCCCAGGGCCCGCTCAGGATCCCGTCTGCAGATCGCACCCAGAATTTCCTCCCACCCATATCGTGCACAAATTTCTTGTTTCTCTCACGTTTTTTTTTTTTTTTTTTTTTTAATTTTTAGGTTACTGGGGCCTAACATCGAATATTAGAAGTTGTCAGTTTTATCATTGCCCCTTTTTCTCGGTTTTGGCCAGAGTTAACGAATCTTTCAGTTGCTTTGTACTATATTACTGTGGAACGTGAACCGATTTTTATTCCCTCCCCTGTTGCGTCTTTTAAAGCATTTTTTCCCCATTAACGAAGCTAAGCAAAAAATAGGAAGAATACCATTGCTAAACCCATTATTTGTTTAAAATACGCTTCAGCCTTTGAGGTGTTTAATCAGCTGGTATGATCAAGTAGGGGTGTGATGAAAAATTGTAGGTTCAAGGTTGTGGTCGTCTTTTTCCTGAGTGTTACTAGAAGATACACGTTTTGCTGAGTTAAAAATCTGTGCAGTATTTAATGTTTGCTCTTACTGGATGCCTCGTTTAAGTTCATTATTAAAGTGTTAAGTAAGAGAACAGGTGATGAGATCATTAAGATAAGATGCATAACTAATTTTATCCAGGCGTATCTTGACTACTTTGGAAATTATTGGCGGTTTACAAATACTTGAGTGGCTATTTTTTCTATGGCACCCTTTTATTTTTTAAAAATAATATCTTTATTGATATAATTTACATACCTTACAGTTCACCCATTTGAAGTATATAATTAGGTAGGTTTAATAAATTTTGCTGTGCCCCCATCACCACAGTCCGTTTTAAAACATGTTCATCACCCCTAAAAGAAACTACCAGTTAAATTACTCCCCATTTACCCTTAAATCTGCCCCCTTCCCCAACCACTAATCTACAGATTTGCCTATTCTGAACATTTCATGTAAATGGAATCACACAGCATGTGGGCTTTGTGACTGGCTTTTTTCATAGCATATTTGCAAAGTTCATTAATGTTATAGCTTGTGTTAGTACCTCATTTCTTTTTATTGCCAAATAATAGTTCATTGTATGGACCTAAGTTTTATTTAAACATTCATCTATTGATGGACATTTGAGTTTTCACTTTTTGTTTGTTACGCTGCTGTGAACATTTGTGTACAAGCTTTTGTGTGGACATACGTTTTCTTCTCTCTGAGATATTTTTATATACCTAGGAGTAGAATTTCTTGGTCATACAATAACACTATGCTCAACCTTTTGAGGAACTGTCAAATTTTTCCAAAGTGGCCGCACCATTTTGCATTCCTCTCAGCAATGTGAGTTCTCATTTCTCCATATCCTTGCCAACACTTGTTATTATCAGTCTTTCTGATGGTAGTCCTCCTAGTGGCTATGAAGAGGTATCTCTTGTGATTTTGACTTGCATTTCCCAATGTTGTTAAGCATGTTTTTCATGTGTTTGTTGGCCATTTGTATGTCCTTCTTTGGAGAAATGTCTATTTGGATCTTTTCCCCATTTTGAAATTGGATTGTTTGTCTATTATTGAGTTGTAAGCCTTCTTTGTGTAAAAGTCTTTATCAAATAGATGATTTGTAAAATGTCCATAGCCCTTTGCTGCAAGCTGGGATATTACAGTGGAATATGCATTCATCATGTTCTTCATGGAATGATGACCTAGCTAGATTGGGGAATTATGCCTCCACCATTACTTTAGCCATTATTACTTATGATGCATATGCAGTTTATGATCATGTTAGGAGAACTTTCTTTCTTGGTTGATTGATTGATTTTAAGGGGCACCTGGGTGGCTCAGATAGTTAAGCGTCTGCCTTCGGCTTGGGTCATGATCTCCAGGTCGTGGGATCGAGCCCTGTGTCGGGCTCGCAGCTCAGCAGGGAGTCTGCTTTTCCCTTTCCCTCTGACTCTCCCCATTTGTGCTCTCTCTGTATCTCTCTCTGTCTCTTAAATGAATAAATAAAACCTTTTAAAAAAATAAAGATTTATTTATTTGAGAGAGAGCATGAGAGAGCGCAAGCAAGGGGGAGAGGGAGAAACAGACTCCCCCCTGAGCAGGGAGCCCCATGCTGGGCTCAGTCCCAGGACCCTGAGATCATGACCAGAGCCAAAGGCAGATGCTTAACAGACTGAGCCGCCCAGGTGCCTCAGGAGAACTTTCTGAGTCCTGAGGTTTTTGTGATTACTTAATTTTGAAGTTTTTATCTAGTTCTTGTTTTTGTTTAAATCTGAGGTTTTACTTAGTTCTGAGTCTTTTTGCCCCTGGCTTGATTTCAGGACGTAATGATTTCTTAAAGAGTTGTGTTGTGTCGCTGCTCCTTTCTGTGCTTAGTTTGCATTCATTTTATTTTTATTTATTTATTCATTTATTTTTAAAGATTTTATTTATTTGACAGAGAGAGATACAGTGAGAGAGGGAACACAAGCAGCGGGAGTGGGAGAGGGAGAAGCAGGCTTCCCGCAGAGCAGGGAGCCCGATGCGGGGCTCGATCCCAGGACCCCGGGATCATGACCTGAGCCGAAGGCAGACGCTTAACGGCTGAGCCACCCAGGCGCCCTGTTTGCATTCATTTTAAAGGATGGCCTTTATAGGACAGTGTTTTAAACTTTATTGTACTGTCAATCAAAATGATTTTGTTTTTAAGATGGATTTAGACTGAGAAATCTCCCTCTCCCTCATAGAAAAAAAATTGAAAGCAGTGATACACTTTTGTCCACACTTTCCCATAAATTTAATCCCAGTTTAAAACTGTGCTGCAGGGGCACCTGCCTGGCTGTCAGTAGAGTATGCGACTCTTTTTTTTTTTAATAAAGATTTTATTTATTTATTTGAGAGAGAGAGCACAAGAGGGGGGAGCGGGAGAGGGAGAAGCAGACTCTCTGCCGAGCAGGGAGCCCGATGCGGGACTCGATCCCGGGACTCCAGGATCATGACCTGAGCCGAAGGCAGTCGCTTAACCAACTGAGCCACCCAGGCGCCCGAGTATGCGACTCTTGATCTCCAGGTCGTGAGTTCCAGCCCCACATTAGGGGTAGAGATTATAAATAAATAAACTTTAAAATCCCATTATCAACTATTTCATGAAATAAATTATATTAAAACTATGCAGCAGTGGGAACTCTACACTCTGGGGAAATAACTTGTCCATTAATGTGTAGACACAGGCATTTAATGCCACAAACTACTTTTTTTTTTTTGTACTTAAAATACCACTTTACTTAGCACTTAATTTCCACTGTTGAGTGGTTTACATATATACATAAAACTATTATCTTTGTTATGAACCTAAGTCAAGTACTAGCGTTATCCCTGTTTTACAGTAAGTCAACTGAAGTTTGGAGTAACTTGTCCATTTATTATACAGCAAAGGTATGACTTGAACCAATGATTGGCTCAAGCCTAGTCTCTTAGCTGAGTTATTCAGTAACATACCACATACCTAACTTCTTTAACTTCTTTACCTTTTAAAATATAAGAGTCTGTAGTTCCTAGAAAGATACAGTATTTTGAATCTGTACATAATATGGGATAGCAGGGAAGTTTTTGTGTTATTTATGCACATCTTTAAATAACAATGAATGCGTTTGGGCTTGTATTGCAAAATAGAGATTTTTTTTTATATAGTGCAGATGTAATGGTCACAAGAAGTTGGAATCATTTAAATGAATGGCAGTTTATATATGCTATATACGCACAGTACAATAGCATATTATAAAAGGTGAGGCATGATGAAAAGAGCTTTGGAATAAAAGAAGACCTAGTCTTAGACCTGTCTCAAGCAGTTAATTAGCCATGTCCTCTTTTTCTTTTTAAAGATTTTATTTATTTATTTGAGAGAGAGAGAGACAGCGAGAGAGGGAACACAAGCAGGGGGAGTGGGAGAGGGAGAAGCAGGCTTCCCGGGGAGCAGGGAGCCTGATGCGGGGCTTGATCCCAGGACCCTGGGATCATGACCTGAGCAAAAGGCAGACACTTAATGACTGAGCCACCCAGGCGCCCCAATTAGCCATGTCTTTATACGAATTGTATTCATTTGTTCAACAAATATTTAGTAAGTATATACCATGCGTCAGGCATTCTTGTAGGCACTGAGAATTCAGGGGTGAACAATAATAGATGGGGGCCCAGCCATGATGGAACTTAGAGTTCACTTAGAAATTCTGATAAGTACTATGAAGGAGATAGAGTTCTGTGGTAAAGAATAAGGGAATGGTGGTAGAATGGATATTTTAGATAAGTGACACAGAACAGTATGTGCTAAAGCAGGAAGGTCAGCATGACTGGATGTATACAATGGAGGACATTTGTAAAGCACTCTGCAACATGAGTTATGTTAAACTCATTAGATATTCATTGAGTATATAATCTTAGGTGTCAAAATTTTAAAGACCCATAGAACACAGTACCTACCTTAGAACGCTTATAGTCTAATTGGGCAGACTGGACGTGGGATTTTAAGGACTGCTAAGAGGAGAGAGGAGCAGTAGATATCAGGAATCAAGCCATTCAGCCACAAACGAAGTTTGT